TCTTACTCTGATCAGATAAAAGAAGAGTTACACTCAGAAATCTAAATAGCTGCTTCCTCCTCCTTCCACCACATAAGCTGCACGACTAGAAGTCTTGAAGAGAGAAATTGTCTCTTTATGTCTTCCTGACATTAATCTTCATATTAAAGGGTCAGTAGAGTGCTCCCTTTTAGATGACTTTAACTGTGGATTTCACACACGAGACTTGCTGGGGCGATCATAAATCCTCAGAAGTCCAGGATAAATAAGTGTTTGTTCCCAAATGGTGTATGTGAACCACTGGCTAAAATGCATTCTTGGAATCATACTTTTTCGGTATTTCCAAGAAATTGATGTTATTTATGTCTTGGAGGAGACTGCTGTCTTTTCTTCGTCATCAGGATGCTAAGATTGAGTCCACCAGCCCTTTGAGAGTCTCTCTGGTATGCACATTAAGATAGATTGCTGAGTTAGATCTAGATAGATATATTTGCCAAGTCTCTTAACTTGCTTGTGTTTCTGGTTCTTGCTCTATTAACCAAAGTGTAACACTGGGCAACAGATTTTGAGGTCTTCAAAGATGTGGCAATAAATGTAGCATTGTTGTTGGCGATAAGCTAGAAATATAGGACTGAATTTTTATCCCAAGTATGCTTCTATGCAAATCTCTTTGTCCTTGGATTCTATTTGTATATATTAAGAATTATGCCTAAATCTCAAAAAAAAGTGTTAAGTGTCAATCCTGAAATTGTTATTCATTGTCCTGCACATCCTATGTCGTGTATAATAAGATAAGATAAGGAAATTTCTAGATGACAGAACATTGTTGTTTTAAAAACAAAAACATGAATTTAGTAGGCAGAAATATTCCAAAATTTAATTTTCTTCATTTTTATTGAAATTAAAACTTTTTTTTTTGAGGAAGATTAGCCTTGAGCTAACATCTGCTGCCAATCCTCCTCTTTTTGCTGAGGAATACTGGCCCTGAGCTAACATCCACGGCCGTCTTCCTCCGCTTTATATGTGGGATGCCTACCACAGCAGGGCCTGCCAAGCGGTGCCATGTCCGCACCCGGCATCCGAACTGGCAAAGCCCAGGCCACCGAGGAGTGGAACGTGCGCACTTAACGAGGCTGGCCCCTTAAAATTAAAACTTTAAAGAGCAAAAATTCAAATAAAGCATACGTTAAATGCCAAGGTATGCTTGGTACTTCATGAGGGTGAAGTTGTTCCACATTGGTATAGTATCAAATTACTCTCCAAGAAAATTACTCCCCATTACAGTATGAGGAAAGATTTCTCTTATTATTTCAATTAGTTAAGTGGCGTTCCTTACTTCTACAGCCCACTGCATTTTTAAGTAGAATTCAGGATGTTATTCTATGTTTTATTTTTCCCTTTGTTAAAATTGTAAATAGGATTGTATTCTTAATTTCTCTTTCTGCTACTTTGTTGTTAGTGTATAGAAACACCACTGATTTCTATATGTCAGTTTTGTATCCTACAATTTTGCCATATTCATTTATTATTTCTAAAAGTTTTTTGGTGGATTCTTTAGGGTTTTCTATGTATATAAAATCATGTCATCTGCAAATAGTGACAGTTTCACTTCTTCTTTTCTGATTTGGATCCCTTTTATTTCTTTTTCTTGCTTGATTGCTCTGGCCAGGACTTCCAATACGATGTTAAATAAGGATGGTGACAGTGGGCATCCTTGTCTGGTTCCTGTTCTTAGAGGGATAGCTTTCAGTTTTTCTCTGATGTGAATGTTATTAGCTGTGGGTTTGTCATATATGGCCTTTATTATGTTGAGGTATTCTCCTTCTATACCCATTTTATTGAGAGTTTTTATCATAAATGGATGCTGTGTCTTGTCAAATGCTTTCTCTGCATCTATAGAGATTATCATGTGATTTTTATTCCTTGTTTTGTTAATATAGTATATCACATTGATTGATTTGCAGATGTTGAGCCATCCCTGCATCCCTGGAATAAATCCCACTTGATCATGATGTATGATGTTTTTAATGTATTGTTGTATTTGATTTGCTAGTATTTTGTTGAGGATTTTTGCATCAGTGTTCATCAATGATGTTGGCCTGTAATTTTCTTTCTTTGTGTTGTCCTTGTCTGGTTTTGGTATCAGGGTAACGTTGGCTTCGCAGAATGAGTTAGAAAGCTTCCCTTCATCTTTAATTTTTGGGAACAGTTTGAGAAGGATAGGTATTATGTCTTCTTTGAAAGTTTGGTAGCATCCACCAGGGAAGCAGTCTGGTCTTGGAATTTCATTTTTTGGGTGGTTTTTGATTGCTGTTTTCATCTCCTTACTGGTGATTGGTCTGTTCAGATTCTCTATTTCTTCTTGATTCAGTTTTGGAAGGTTGTATTATTCATTTTTTCTAGATTATCCAGTTTGTTGGCATATGGCTTTTTGTAGTAGTCTTATAATCTTTTGTATTTCTGAGGTGTCTTGTAATTTCTCCTCTTTCATTTCTTATTTTATTTATTTGAGCCTTCTTTTTTTTTTTTTTTTGTGAGTCTAGCTAAAGGTTTGTCAATTTTATCTTTTCAGAGAACCTGCTCTTAGTTTCACTGATTTTTTTCTGTTGTTTTTTCAGTCTCTATTTCATTTATTTCTGCTCTGATTTTTCTTATTTCCTTCCTTCTACTGATTTTGGGCTCTGTTTGTTCTTACTTTTCCAGTTCCTTTAGGTGCACTGTTAGATTGTTTATTTGAGATTTTTCTTGTTTGTTGAGGTAGGTCTGAATTGCTGTAAACTTCCCTTTTAGAACCGCTTTTGCTGTATCCCACAGATTTTGGCATGTTGTATTTTCATTTTCATTTGTCTCCAGGTATTTTTTGATCCTTTGCATTTTTGCCTCTAGTTTTTGAGAGAAAACATGAGTTTTTTTCTTTATTCTAAAGTTCCCTCCTAATCGGGCAACAGTAGCAACAGGGAACGAACTCCCTTTGAACAAGCACAAATGGAAGTTTTTGCTGAAAATAGAGGAACAGCTTCTGCCCACTTCTACTGTTCCTGCCGTGCCTTTGGATGCTCAATGGTAGGAATTATCCTGGTTATCCATGGAGTTTAACAGAAGAATTTCCCTTCCTTCCTTTTTCATAATAGTTATAAAAGTAGTAGCTAATATAAGTAGTGGGAGTCAAGTTGTGCGATTTTGGTCACTTGGGGAGGAATTGTTCATTCCACTTAGTTTTCACAGAGCTCACACTGTGTTCACAGCATTTTAGGTGGGTTCCATGGTAAGCACCACACAGTGGGCATAAAAGGCACACACAAGCAAAAGGTACATGAAATCATATTTTAAAAAATACAGGGCAGCGAGCACAATATTTAGAAATACACAAAACAATGCAAACTGAACCCAAAAGTATAGTGGGTGACCTCACTGTCAGCAAGTTTGGTGTGTTTTTGGCCTTCTTTTTGATAGAGAGAGGAAAAAGAGTAAATGGTATGATGCGTACAGGGAGTAACTTACTCTACTTAGGAGTCACCCTTGATTGCTTCTTCTCCATCATCTCCCTTTTCTCCCCCACTCATATTCAATTTATTGGCAAGTTATGTCCATTTTGTCTGAAAACACAGCTTAACTCCTCCGTGTTTCTTCACCTTGTTGCCACCTCTCTGGCCTGAGCCATTGTCATCTCTACCAAGGCAAGAGCAACAGTTGCTTAACTGGTCTCCTTACTTCTTCTCTTGCTAATCTTACGTCTGTCCTTCACAAAAAAGGCAAAAAGAACTTTTGAAAATACGCTTCAAATCATGCACTTACCAATTTAAAATTTCTTAGTGCATCCTCATGTTCTTAGGCTAAAATCTGAATTTATGGTGGTCCGTGCTCTCCCTAGGCTTGTCTCAGATCACTCTCGCCTGCCATGGGTGGCTCCATCCCAATCTTCAGGTCTCAGCCCAAAGACTGCTTCTTCAGAGAAGTACCATCCATGGCCCCTCCCTGAAATGATCACCCCTAGTTGGTTTTCTGTCCTTTCCTCATTTATCATGACCTTTAATTCCATCTTATTTTTTATTATTATTACAGTTATAGTTATTCTTGTTATTATTAGTTGTGGTGGTAGTTGTCATTGTTCATTGGCTGCCTCCCCAGCTAGTCTGTGTACTTTCTGAAGTTCACAAGTCACTATCTGTCTTGTTCACAGGAAAAACCCCAGTGCCAGGCACATAATAGATGCTCAATAAATATTTGTTACCATGAAAGAGCAAACTGTATAGAGAGGAAAATAACTAGATCATTGTGCTTGGATCAGAGTTGGTGGTGAATGTCAGTGTGAAGTTGGAGATTAGGAGGAAGCTAGAGAATTCAAGGAAGACCTTGAGTAAGGAACAGAGTTCAGACTTGATAAGATAAGCAACACATAGGCCAAAGCGTCGCCCTTGTTGTTTTTGTGTTTCTTGAGACTGGTTATTTTAGAAAGTGGTACCCAAGCTGCATTGTATCAGGGAGAGGCTGGAATCAGGGCCTTTAAGTCAGGAAGTTATTGTACCAGCACAGAAAGAGTGACAAGGACTTGGATAGGGAGATGCTAGAGAAATATGCGAGAAGAGGTGGATTCAAGACTCCACGATTTGGAATTTTGTGGTAATAACGCACTGAGCAGTCCAAACGTAAAATTATATGACACTACCAGCCAACAAACCACACTTTTTTAAAAAAACTTGATAGAAACCTTCATCTACACCCCAACTCCCTTGTGGGTGAAGCCCGATACTGGCATGATGATGTCTGATGGGTTTAGGTGAAGAGGAGAATTGAGATCAAATTTTTCCACTGCCATTTACTTAATAAATGAGATAAGGTACATTAAAAGTACCCAGTGCTATGAGTTAACTTTTCATTCAAATAACAAAAACATAGTATCAATATTTACATTTTGTGAGCTAATCTACCTAACATTATTTTTTCCTGACAGATTACTATCTGAAAGAATATGACCTTGATGCTACATTTAATATTGTTTTTCTTTGTTTCTTTTTTTGTAGCACTTGAGCAAGATGAAGAAAACAGTGACAAACACGTAACTGTGACAGAAGCTGAAGGTGTTCCAGATTCTCAGGTATGATAGATGCTGTGACAGTCCCTCACTGCACCCTTCCCCTGTATTGGGAGTGGTGGACAGTACAGGTGTTGGCAAATGATGGTTTTACCTTTTGTTTTCTGTAAATAGTGGTATTCCTGGGAAAAAATATTATTTTTTATTTAGAGGCATTTTACAAGAAAGGCCCTAAATTGCTAATCATATTTATAATTCATAGAGATTCATGGAGAAGGGACAGATAGGGAGACATACTCCACTTCCCAGAGAAAGCAAGGAAAATACATGAAGAACCCGGGGATGCCACTCTTAGGGCAGACCATCCCCTGGAGATGGCAGAGTCGAATCAGCTAGCTGACAGCACAGCTGGGACTGGGCCAGACAAATTAGTGTGATGCCTCACCTGCCGAAGATTCTGCGCCAACCCCAGTATCTAACTCATGGCACAGATAGGCTTTTGGTAGCAACTTACCTTCAAATACTGTTGCAGTGTAAAAACTTTGGACACCCTAGTGCTTTCAACAGTTAACTTTATGTAAAAGCACAGCATCTAAAGATTCTTAGCTTGGTTAAACCATTGCATTTCACCTTTAAAGTTCTAAATCTGTTGATTCTGGTCAGAATAATCACATTAGCTTTTTCAATAAATGTTGCGTAGGTTTTAATATTTTGATAAATTCATGTAAGGAGTTGTTTTGCTGTGCTAATATTGAAAATGCTGCAATCAACAAGTTCATACTGAAATTACACTTTAGGGTCCCAGGCAAAGCTGGGCAGAGATTCCCCTACTCAGTGTATTTGACACTTTCTCAAAGGTTTCTTAAATCATTAAATTATTAATGGGACAGATGTTTCTAAACAGAAATTGTTGTTGTTCTTTATTTGTTTTGAACTTACTCTATAGAGAAAAGTTTGTTGTAATGCAATTTTATTTCTCTGTATATCTCAAAAGGATACACAGACCTATTAGAGTCTTTGTGGCTTTCTTCAGTAACAGTGACATAAGCACACATCTAAAGGATGTTCAGAGGAATGAAATCATGCAACCACTGAATCAATAATTAGATAAGGAACAGATTCTGTTTAGATTTGAGAGTCAAGAGTTCAGTTCACTGGGAGGCATAATTATGAGTGTTAATAGGCCTAGGCTGTGGAGGGAGGAAGGTGCTGTCACATCCTCTGAGGTGTCTGAGAAAGCTTGATCTGCTGTGACAGTCGAAGCACCAGTTTTCTTGGTTTGATTCTGCAGGTCCATCTATACACATGCTCTGGGTAGAATCATCAGTAGTTCGAGTCATGTAAGGTGAGCTTAAAGAAAACTTTCAGAATTTCACTATCAGATATCTAGGCAGAATCAGAAATAAAATGTATGTATGCTTATGGGTGTTAATACGTGTGCACTTTATAGATAAATTTATTAATTTGATGTTTGATGTATACACATATAATTGAGTACCTACATACCAGACTCTGATAAGTATTTCAGATTATTGAAGTCTTCACTCCAGATTATCTTTTAAACAAGTTAAGTGGAAATTGGTTTCTCTTTCGTTCCCCATATGTGATGAAATATGTCACTATGAGAAAAATGCCCCTAGGCTGCTGCAAACTTTGGGTGTGTAAAGGGTTAAGTCATTAACCCCAGGGAGACTGGGCCTTGTTGTGCACAGGTTTCCCACCTCATATATTAGCTCCTTTCTTTTCTTTCTCACTCAAAATATCTTTTCTGCCTAAGAAACTCCCTGTTTTAACGCAGTGACGTGTGGGTGGAGTGAAGAGAGCATGTAGACTTAGGTTTGCATCCCAGCCCTTCTTCCTCATAGCTGGTGCCTTTAGCCAAGTTCTCTACCGTCTAAACCTGTAAGTTCCTGTAGGGTAGCATCTGTGTCTTTGTCGCCATAGTGTCCCTGCTGTGCTGGGCAGTGACTAATGTGCTTGGTTTTCATCTCTGTAAAGTAGAGATATTATAAAGTTGTCATGAGGTTGAAATAAAGCAACATAAAGATGCCTGCAATCCTGGCACAAAAAATAGTTTCAAGAAATGTTAGGCAGCATACATGAGGTATAAGAGTGCTCTCTCCAGGGCCAGGCCGCCTGGGTTCTCTTCCTGGCTCTGCCACAGTAACCTTGGGCAGGGTCCTCTACTCTCCTGAGCCCCGTGTTCCTTTTCTGTCGTAGTGTTGAGAGGTGACACTTGTGCAGCACGTCATATGCACTAGGCACTCTTCTAAGTTCCTTGTTTTTTATTAATGTATTTAAACCTCACAACAAACCTTGTGAGCTAGACAATATAATTCCCCTCACTTTACCTAGGAACTGGTGACTCGGGGGGCCAGGAATCAAACCAAGGCAGTCTGGCTCTAACATCCTTGCTTTTAACCATTGTACTAACTGCTTTCTAACATCTGTAAAATGGGGATAATTGTTGGGTTGTTATGAAGATTAAATGAGTATATGTGAAGCAATTAGAACAGTGCCTGGAACATAGTAAGTACTCAAAAGAGTTATCCTTTATGAGTTATTATCATTATTATGATCATCTCTCACAATGCTTGTGGTGTGAACGTTTACGGTGTCTAACACAGCTGGGCTGCAGTGTTACTCTCTGCCTTCCATCATGGTATCTTCACATACATAAACATTCTAGACCCTTCACTCTTTATAACTCTTTATATAGGACAAAAGGATTAAAGAATCTTTATCAAAATGTATAGAATTTTTGCCGAGTTCTACTTTAGGATTCTAATGAGATCTTCAACGAGTAATTTATGGCGTGTTGAACTTTGGAAATTCTTGCTTTGGTTCAAGTAGCCATTGACCACTGGATTCAGTAATTATTTTCATTGTCTCTCATCCCCCATTGGAATCAATCATTTTAATATTAAGTGATGATAACTATTAATTATACAAATTAATTGCCAAATATTTGATGATTAGTTTATCAGTAGCCAAAGTGTGACTTTTTTTTTAATAGACTGAAGAAAGATCTTATTTAAGACTGTCATAGCTGTCACAGAAAACACATGATCCTTTTAAATCCTTTGTTAGAATTTATTAGAATTTGTGTATTTTCTCTTTTTACTTGTTTATTATTTGTCAAGTTTGCTGCCCTGCTTAGTAGTATGGTCAGTAATGTATACAGGGCTGAGCTGTGATTTCTCTCAGGTCAAAACAAGATAAAATATTGATGGTCTCCTTATTCTGGTCTGAAAGTTCGAGGAATCAACTATATGTAATGAGTGAACACCCTTTTCTTCATCAATTATGTGAATACATCATGTATTTAGTTTCATCAGAAGAGATAATTATACAGGTGTAAAAGATTAAGAAAGTCTTTGAGGGAAATAACAGCAATAAATTTCATGAAACTATGATTTCTGCCTCCTTCTCTGCTCCCAGCATGCTTTGGCAGGACGCAGTATCACACCGTGTTTGTGTAGGATAGGTCTGTTTGAGCAGCGTGGTGTATTAACACAGGTAATTCCAAAAAGGAGGAAGACCAGAGGAGTGAACTTCCCTGAACTTGCATTGCCTCACCTGTACAGTAAGGGACTAGGAGTCACTGAATGATTTCTAAGGCTCTATGACACCGCAGCATGGTGTTTGAGGCCTGTACTAGTGATGCTCTGGGCATTAGTACACCTGCCTTTACCATCACACTCTCTAGCATATGCGCTTTTCACTGTGAATGCTTCTTGGTCCTTTCCTCAATTATTAAAGGGTATATTTTTCTATTCCAGCTAGGAAGAAATTTTTCATAGTCGTCTTTCTCTTTCTGAATAAATTTGAGAACATAAATATTTGCTACCCTAAAATTATTGTTATTATTTTCTCTTATGAGTTTTCTTCTGAATTTTTCTGGAAATAATTTTTAATATTTTCTGGTTTGGAAATAGGTGCATACAATTGAGTAATGTAATATACCATCCCAACCCATCAGTATTTTATTCTGTCATTAGGATTTTCTGTTTGAAGTAGCCAAAAAAAAAAAAATTATTTCTTGAAATTCTATTCAAGATTTAATTTTTGAAGAAATGAGTCTCTTCTGAAGTAATCAATAAGAATTTATCTGAATACTCTGAATTTCTATTGAATAGCATTCTGTTATTGCAAAAGTGCTGTCATGAAAGGTGAACTCTTTCATCCTAGTTTTCCTTCCCTTGATAGCAATTTTTGCGTGATGTTTTTTCTAGGTATTTTAGAAAAAGTGATTTTTAAAGTTAGGATAATGCAGAAAATGTATTCATACGTAGAACTGTGCTTTTTTTTTTTTTTTGCAAGGAAGATTCGCCCTGAGCTAACAGCCGTTGCCAATCCTCCTCTTTTTTCCCTTGAGGAAGATTAGCCCTGAGCTAACATCTGCACCAATCTTCCTCTGTTTTTTTTTTGCATGTGGGATGCCTCCACAGTGTGGCTGATGAGCAGAGTAGGTCTGCACCTGGGATCTGAACCTGGGCTGCCAAAGAAGAGCACGCAGAACTTTAACCACTCCCCCCAGGGGCTGGCCCCCTAGAGCTGGGTTCTTTTTACCTTTTGTCATAAAGCTTGTTCATTTATCCTCCTTGTAGCCTTTCCTAAGGGAATCCTGTCCAAGTCTCATTTTACCACTAAAAGAATGGACCCAACATTTTATGACTCCGTTTATAAAGGAAACAGACTTTTCATTTACATTCATAACGTTTCTCTTCTCCAATACTGAAAAATCATATGAATAGCTTTAATTATATATTATGGAGACTTTTTTTTTCTTCAAAGCAGACCTTGAAATAAGGTTCTTAAATAATTCTTCTGACGGTTACACATTAATCTTTTATTTTTTTCTGGCCTAGCAGTGTTAGGTAAACTGTTTATAATTAATTTCACATAGATAAATTAAGTAGTCCAAGAATGGGAAAGTCTAGTCAAGGACTGTTAGGTATCTTACTTCTCCTGCCATAACAAAGCTCCCAAAATATATTAATAAATTCTTGGGTTTTTTTAATTAAATCACTAAATTATGGAGCTGTGAAAGGGACCCCCCCCAGAGAAGATCTGGCTTAGTGAGGTGCTTTCAAAGAGGACTGCCTTATGTAACTATCTAGGATGTGCCAGCACCTCTCTGGGCTTAAAGTTCTCCAGGGAATTTAGAAACAGTCATAAATACTCCTTGAAAGCCTTTTTTGATAGTTGCTAACATAAGGAGTGCTACAGAACTAATTATCTTGTGAAAGTACATCTAGAAATTATGCAGAAACCAGAAAATCAAGACAGCGATATTCCTTTTTTAATCATAAGATGATTTAGTTATCAATATGAAATAAATCAATCTGAAGCCCATTTTTAAAAGTAATAGCATTTTGTGTTTAAAATACTCAATTTGTGCACCCATGTATCTGATTCTAATAAAAATGTATTTCCTCAAGAAAGAAAAGTCTGTATTTAGGATCCTAAGCGTGTGAAATGAAGACTGTTTAGAGTTCTTTAAAAAGTCCTGCTCACACAGAGACCAAAAGAGTAGGCAAGTTCTCTTAAATTTCCTCTACTAAGTCCCACTCTTATTGCTGATGATATTATTGGTTATTTTTTTTTTAATGTATTTGGGACCCACAGACAGAAGGAAAGACTCTCCAAGCAGAGTCTGTGGGAGCTTAACCCAGTTGCTTTGGAGCCTGTGCTGGTGAGAAGAGAGAACAGGCTCATTCCCACTTGCCAAGTTAGTTAGCTCCAAAGTGCTTTCCTCCTGGGTACCACCCCTGCCTGGCTCCAGTCACACGCATGCCCTCTGTTATACAGGGGTGCCACACTGAGGAGCAGAGAGAGATTAGGACTAACCCATTTCACTACTGAATAAACAACCATGGAGCAGGTCCTGAGGTTGCAGGGTTATTCACATCCTCTCTCCACCAGCAGGACAGTATGTTAAACACTGGGGGGAAAACATGGATGGAAAGAGAAGAAATTCTAGATGGTCGAGATAAATGAATTTTCTAGATAACAGAAACTTATTCCTTTGTGTGAAACAGTCGAAGAATATTAATCATTTTTGTATAGAAATTTCCCTGAATGGTTTCCTTGTCTTCTTAGTTTAAAGGAGAATATGTAACACCTCTGATCCTCTTTTACTCTCTAGTATTGATTAAAAGAGCGTCTTCGAGATGGCCCTATGTGTAGCATTATCACAGGTATGGACTCTGTTAAAATCCTGACAAATAGAAATAGGTCCCAAGGAGGATGGCTAGGATGGAAAAAGGACCCAAAAATAAAATCAAGTGGGCCCTTAGTCATTATTGACAGTCTTATTCTGCAATCCTTAGACCGCTGTCCAGTTTCCTCTTCTCATAGGTCAGGAGCTGACAAACCACAACCTACTGCCTGTTTTTGTAAATAAAGTGTTACTGGGACACAGCCATGCTCATTCATTTACATATTGTCTCTTGCTGCTTTTGCACTAAAATTGCAGAATTGGGTAGTTTCACCAGAGACCATATGGCCCACTGGGCCTAGAATATTTACCCTCTGGCTCTTTACAAAAAAAAGTTTGTGAATTCTTGAAACCGAAATGCCTATTACATGCCTTCTTTTTGCATACCTCCAGCATCTTCTCACAGTCCTTACTCAGCTAATAACTTGATACTATTTTTCTGGGAAATAGGGGCCTTCAGAAAAGAATTTCCACATGTTCCCACCATGAGATATGCCAACCTACCTGCATGTTTACCCCTGTACTTCACCTTCCCTCCTGTTAAAGTGAGTGAAATACTCATATTCATGTTTCTGTCTGAGAGTAGATCTTTATGCTCTCTTTCCCACTCAAGGACACCGCTCCTAAAAGGGACACTCTCTCCCTCCTACATCATCAAATTTCTCTCTGTTCTGGATGATTTCTAATAAAGATAAATATGCTGGACTATCCCTCACCTTAAGCAAGCAAGCAAGCAAGCAAAACTCCCTTCAATATCACTCTTAGGTAGTGCCCTGTTTCTTGTAACAGACCTAGTCAAAAGAGTTGTCTCTCATTCTCTGTTAAAGCCATGCTCATGAGGGTTTTTGTTTTCCCTACCACTTTTTTTGTTTAAAAAAATGGTATGTTCAAAGTCACCAATTAGTTTGATCAAATTCAGTGTCAATTATTTTGAATTCATCTCTTTTGGTATTTTAGCTGCATTTGATACAGTTTTTACTCCCTCCTCCTTGAAACACCTTCTCCACTGCTCACCGGGTTCTCCTCCTGGAGCCGCTCCTTCTCACTCTCCTTTTCTGATTGCTCCTCATCTTCCCAATCTCTCAACATTAGACTCGGTTCGTGGATTTCTTCTCTTCTCTGTTTACATCCACAGGTAACCTCACTCATTCCTCTGGTTTTAAGTACCATCTACACTGTGATAACTCCCAAAGCCTTATCTCCAGCCTGGACTTCTCCTTTGGACCTCCAGGCTGCCAACCCAGAGCTCCACTTGGATGTCTAATAGGCATATTCCTTCCCAGACCTTCTCCCCTAGTCTTCCCAATCTCAGGAAATGATAACCGTACCCTTCCAGTTACTCAGGCCAAACATCTTGGAGACAACAAATTCTGTTGGCCCTGCCTTTGGAATATATCCAGATTCTAACCACTTCTCACCATCTCTGCCGTTACCACAAGTTCCAAGCTATCTCTTGTCTGAAGACCAGTCTTCTAATTGGTCTTCTAGCTTCAACTACTTCTCCTCACCTAACAGTGTTTTCTCAACCCAGAAGACAGAATGATCCTATTAAAGTATAAGTCAGATTATGTCAATCTCATTGAAACTTTTCAAAGGATTTCCATCTTGTTCAGAAAAGGAATCTAAACTCCTTACACATCCTGTAAGGAAACTACATGATCTGGTCCGACATCACCTCTCTGGCCACTCATACTGGTCTCCCTCTTACCAGCTCTGCTCCAGCCGTGCTTTTCTTTGCTCTTCCTTGAAGATGCCAAACATACCCAAGCCTCAGGACACTTGCACTTCTGTTCCTCTGCCTGAAACACCCTTCCTCACTTCCTTTAGGTCTCCACTCAAATGTTATCTTACTAAAGAATCCTTCCCAGACATTCCTATCTTAGTAACACTTCAATCATTTCTCTATCTCCTTGCCCTTTTTTATTTTCCTTCCAGTAATGTATTACCATCTGATATTTCATATCTCTATGTTACATAATCTACATCCTCTATTGAATGTAAGCTCCGTGACAGGTAGGGCTTTGTTTTTTGTTGTTGCTGTTCACTACTATATTCCTAGAACCTATAGTAGATCTTGGCACATGATTGCTGCTCAGTTAAAATGTCGAGTGAGTGAATGAATGAATGCATAAAGTAGGAAGATGGAGAAAATATATATGGGGAATGCTAAAAGGATATCATAAACAGTGGTATTTAAATATTCAAAAGATTGTCGTATTGGATAAGAAGAAGATATAGTTCTGTTGCTTTAGAAGGCAAAACTAGTACTCATAGGGCGAAGTTCAGTAGTTTCAGAGTTTTGTCTAATGTGATAGGGGACTTTCCAACAATCGTGGCTCTCCAACAGTGCACAGGCTGTCTTAAGATAAACTGAGATCCCTGTCCAAGGAAACCTTGGAAACAAACTGGAGGACCTCTTGTGAGGGATGTTGGAAAAATAAATCTCTGACCTTGGTGGAGGAATTCCACTTGCTGTCCTTTGGGAATCTGTGATTTGGGCCACTTCAAAGATTTGTTAATATCCTTCCTAGTTGTTGGAGAAACTTCTAGAGAATAGTCTTTCTTTGCATGGGTGGTCCCCTTTCTCTGATGCCCACTCAACAAAATGGTTATCTTTAGCACAAAGCGTTAAGACCATGAAGCTGTGATCACTTACTGGCCCCTTCTCCGTATTTGGTCATGTTGCTGAGTCCATTAAAATTCTGTAGGTTGTATTGGGTGAAACAAAGATTCCATAGTTTTGGCTGTTCTTGCCAAGAGTAACTTCAGATTTCTTTATTAGATCATGTCCTGATATGGCAATGTGAACCATTTTTGAAAGAATTTGAGCAGAAACAGTTTGTAATTTTTGTGTTGTAACGAATGCATTTTTTTTTCTAATCAAAATCCTTGATTCTCCTCCATATTACTCAGGTACTTTGGTGTAATAAAAAATATGATGCTTTATGGATCATTTCCAAACCATGATGGAATTTTAAGCTTTCTTTTTTCAGTTTATTTCTAATAAACTTTTCCACCATATTTCATGCAGCATTGGAAGTATTTTGCTCATAATGCCCCATAGTAACTTTCCAGTTGTGAAAAAAAATTATCTTGTGATCTTCTTAACTGTGTATTTGTACATGGAATGGTCTGGTGGAGCTAAAGAGTTAGGAGGTTGTGTTCTGTTATTTTTAGTACTCTGTATCACTTCACCCTTATGGCCGGAGTAGTTCCTGGCTAACTTTCCCATGAGTTTTTAACCTCTTGCTAGGCTTATGTAACAGGAAACAGGCTGTCAGGAACAAATACTGGGATATCAGGAGCAGACTTCAGTAGCAAATGATTTAGTTTGCTCTGCCCTTCACCCTCTTAAAGTAGACTGATAAATGATCTCAACTTTAAGTCTTTTGGTGCTGCGTTTCTAGATTAAAATAACACAGTTTCAGTTCTGGAAAGGCAAAATATTTTACCAAGACCATGATTTAATCCAGGCGACGGAGAAGATGAGCTTATTATAAGGTGAACTTTTCAGTGGTGTCATGTCCTGGGACTGTGGATTTAAGTATATCTTCGCTTTTTCTCCAACTCTTAAGGCAGGGGTGATGTGCAAGCTTCAGGAGAGAGATGATATCGGACGAATTGAACTGGTCCAGAAGCTGGCAAGAGAAAACTGTCAATTTCTGCAGACGGACAAAAAAGAACAGGAGAAATCTGAACACGTAAGCCCTTTTCCTCTTGGGGATGCAGGTTTGAAGGAGTGGAAAATATTTCTGCCCAGCTGTACATTTGAAGGAAAGAATATTTTATTTTAAATTCTTTAGGTTTTGTTTTTTTCCCCCTCCAAAAGCATCCGCCTTAGTAAAATCACAGCTGCTCGTAGCTCTGAGCCAGTGGTTTATGACACTGGACTTGTAAGATAACTCTTCTCAAAAGTAAATCATGTGGAAATATAAGGACACGTGAGTAAATATGAATCCGTGTCTATTTATGATCCTGATTTGATGGCTTTCAAGTTCGGCTTGGGGAGTTTCACCCCATCTGTTTGTAGAATATGAATTTTGAAAGAACATTCTGATGTATTTTTATGTTTGGTACACGGGTGGATCTAGTGACCAAGCAAATGTGTCTTAGATCACTAGAGATGGATAAGAACAGAAGACCAAGTGAGAGCATCAGAAGGGCGTTGTCCCGGTATCTTATGAATGTTTGTGTTCCAACAAGAGTTATATTGTTTGGATGTAGTTAAACTGGAGGAAAGGGACACTCTGCTCGGTTCTTCTGAAAGCGGTTATTCAGATTGAGCCTTAGAACTGAGAATGCTGCCGTCATGCTGGGAAGACAATGGGACTACTTTCTTCTGCTACATGTTATTGTCTGTTGACTTTTTGTTGTTGTTTCTAAGACTTGACACTCAGTGCTGAACTATCCAGGATTGCTCATGAAAGGGAAAATTCCTTAGTGCTTATAAACATGTCTCTCTCTGACTTTAATTTTTCCTTGGAATTTTATTTTCAACCCTTTCCAAGGGGGAAAAAGTGCTTCAGGCTTTTTCTGTTCCAAGGCCATCAATACAATGTTAGAGTTTTACTGAGCAGGAGAGGAGGTGAAATGTTCAAGAAGGGCAGGCTGTTTAGTTTAATAACATAACACATCTCTAACAGTGGGACATCGAATCATTACAATTGGTCTCTCAAGGGGAAGAATAATTAGGCAGTTTCAAAGCCTTGTAATTGCAGCTATTTCAGAGGTGACTATTGAGTTTAAGTGCAAGTGGAGGTCTCAGGAGCTTTCACTTAGCTGGGTAGTATTGATAAATTTAGGAATTTGTTTAAGTTGTTAAAAGTATCCTAAAATTTGACTGTATCAAAGATTGACTCTTAACCTCTGCTGTGACCTTAAAATATTTGAATATCCTACTATGTGGCTTAAATTTCTCAAAACAATATTCCTTTTCATTCATTTTAATTAGAAGAGCAGCAGTTTTCATAAGCTATAGTTTATTGATTTCAAGATGCATGTTTCCCCCACCTTTTAGCATCTCTGAAATCAGAATGGGTCTTAATTATTGATGGTATGGAATGTGTCATAGTTTACGGTAGTCCCCCTTATCTGCGGTTTTGCTTTCTGTGGTTTCAGTTACCCAGGGTCAACTGCAGTTCGAAAATATTAAGTGAAATATTCCAGAAATACACAATCCATAAGTTTTAAATTGTGCGCCATTCTGCCTGGGACGCTATATCACAGTGCTTACATCATTCACCTCACTTCACCTCACTTCACCTCATCACGTAGGCATTGTATCATCTCACATCACCACAAGAAGGGTGAGTACAGTACAATAAGATATTTTCAGAGAGAGACCACATTCACATGACTTTTATTACAGTATATTGTTATAATTGTTCTATTGTATTATTAGTTATTGTTAATCTCTTACTGTGCCTAATTTATAAATTAAACTTTATCATAGACGTGTATGTATAGGAAAAAACAGTTACATGTAGAGTTCAATACTATCCACGGTTTCAGGCATCCACTGGGAGTCTTGGAAAGTATCCCCCATCAGATAAGGGGGGACCAGTGTAATTGTGAGCATTTTTCTTTTTCAGTAGTCCTTAAAATGAATGATATATTTTGCAATGGATTGTATATTCAATTCAACGGACCAACAATAATCTGAGGGTAGGGCAACATCTTTTAAATCAAACAAACAGTAGAGTACCACTTCACCAAGGTTAGAAATCATCTGTCTCAGGCCAACAAACAACTTATTGAAAAGGTACCTGTGTGCCTTATGTTTAGTTCAGTCCAGAATATTACATTCAGCTAATGAGAATATATGTTCCAAATATAAAATAGAAATCGGAACTTGGTGCTGATAATTGTAAATACTTTTAACATGAAACAAATTTATGGGTAGAAGGTTTGCAACTTTGCTTATGGTTATCTACTCTCTGTTATCTTTAAACTTTCATTTTAAGACAGTAAAATAGAACACTAAGGATTTTTACTTCTTGCGTGAATGTCATAATATGGATGCATTAACAGCTCTGAAGTGTTTGTGCTGCTGAGAGGAAAGATGGTGTCTAAATGAACATGGGAATTATGGCCTTCTCTATGTAGACTTTTCTACTGAAACTTAAAGTAAGGAAAGGTGAATATTAAGGATCCTTCTTCTTTAGTGATAAATAGAAACTTAGGCATTCTGTGACCTCCCTCCTGCAGGAGGACAGCAGTTGAACTAATCAACTCTCAAGGCTGATATTTATATAGTACTCCACTAAGTGCATTATTTGATACTAGATGCTTACACTTTTAACAATAATTTATTAGGAATAAAAACCATTTGGGGGGCTGGCCCCCTGGGCTGGTGGTTGAGTTTGGTACGCTCCACTTCAGCGGCCCAGGTTTGGTTCCTGGGCACAGACTTACGCCACTCACCGGTGGCCGTGCGATGACAACAACCCACATACAAAGTAGAGAAAGATTGGCACGGATGGTAGCTCAGGGTGAATCTTCCTCAGTAGGAAAAAAAAAAAAACCCCAACAAAACAAACAAAAAAACAATCTGGTAGATTATTTTACTGCTTTTTTTGTCTAAAGCATTTGATATATCTATACCTTTGCTTGCACATGGAGTTCACAGTGTCCATGAGATGGATGTAACATTTTCATTTTTCCTGGCCTCACTTTCTTTTCAATAGGGGCCGTCTACTCTTGCTCTTGAAAGCTCAGTTGTAACACAGAATGAACAGAGGAAACTGCAGTTTACATAATGTAAACCTAGTTCTGCACTTTCCTCTTCTTGTTATGACAACAACAATAATGACCAAACCCTAGAGTTACATATAGATTTTCTTTCTTTTATGATTTTAAAATGCTTCAAGTACTTCATCTACCATTCCTGGGCCAAAGTTATTTAAGTGGACAGTGGTGAAATTTGAGTTAGAATCCAAGTCGCTTATTGAGTCATTCTTTTACCAAACAGCAGTGCTTCTCTACTTCTGGAATGCCACATCCCTTTTTGTACATAAGTGCCAAAGTGAGAAAGCTACTTTGAGGTACTGCTGCATAGAGATAGAAATGAATTTGATGGAATAAAGCTTTTGTTGCTGGTATGTCTTGTTACAAATTGAAGGGGCTTAGGGCTTTCTAAGTAGCCATATCTAATATTTTCTTAAACTGGTAAATGCCATGATTATAAATGCATGCAATTAGAGAAACACTTCACTCTGTGCTTGTGCCAAGATGTTTCTGAAATAAAAAAAGTTAAATGTATAATTATCACAAGTTTCTCGAGAAGCACTTGGTTTTCCTCTTTTATATTAACAAGCAGTAGGCAAAATTAGCCAGCACTCATTCCTAAGTGTTGAAAATTATGTGAGAACTTTAAGAAGGGGTCAGGAATTGGCTATTTCTTTTAAACATTATAAGAATGACATTAACATTGGGTTATTTATTCTTTAAAGAATAAAGAGAAGGTAATCTCTTATGGAGGCATCACGTTTTCTAGCCTTAATCCTATGATTATATCAATGGAGGAAGGGGCTTGTGTTACCAGATGAGGACGTGTCGGCTTGACCTTGAAGAATGACCAATGGTCATAGAAGGGCAGTGCAGGGAAAAGCATTTAAGGCACAGAGACCAGCAGGAAGATGCATGACTAGATGATTCATGGGGAATGAAGGTAGTGGGCTGTATGGGAGGCTAGAATTCAGTTGTGAAAGACCGAGTAAGCCACCCGAGGGAGTTTAGACTTGCTTTTCTGGCAAAGGGAAGCCATCAAAGAAGGGAAGTGGCATAATCAAAGGTGGTCTTTCTAAAATCCCTCTGGCATCGGTTTAGAGGAAAAATGGAGTGGGGAAGAGGGACGTATTGGAGAGAACCCTTGGAAAGCTGTTGTAGTGAGTCAGGAGAGAGATGTAAGCCTGAACCAGGGCGGCAACTGTGGGAAATGAGAAGTCCACAGATGTTGAGAGTCATTTAGATGGTAAAATTGGCAGAATTTGATGACTGCTAATGGGAAGGGATATGTGCTAATTTATATTAAGAAATTTTGAATTTTTATTGTTTTATGTGGTATAGTGGTAGACATGAGAATGTTCTGTTTATCACCAGAATGGTTGTTCACTTTTGCCAAAAAGCTACATAAGACATTTACCTTGCTTTGTTTTCCTGTAGTATGTTTCCAGTGTCTGAGATACGTTCTAAAGCACTTAGTGTTTATCTCATGAACAAATTGTTAGATGGGGGTTCTGGCTAACAGTATGCGGACCACATAAACCTTCTTCTTAGACCAGACACTTTGACAATACCTTAAGGAGGGAGAATCCCTGGTAGCCCCAAAATAAACTGAATTATTTGGCCAGATCTTTGGCATTTGCTGCAATGTTGTTTGTACTTGCTTCAGATTTAACGGTGACTCTAGAGGTGCTCTCCTGGCCCATGTAGACTGAGTTGGTGTTACTAAACTGTTATTCCAGAATACTCTTGGTCATTTATTTATTCAGTACACCTTTATTAAAGCTGATGCTATAGGGATCCAGAATAACTATGATAGCTCTGACCCTGAAGGAGTATAGTCAAGTTGTAGAGAAGACGTTGACACAAATAACTGAGACACAAGGAGGCAGTGATGATTTTCTCAAAGAGATACATAGGAGTTAGAAGAATTTACACCTAGGGAAACAGGATTCTCTATATGGTAGAGGTGGAGTTT